AGAGAGAGAGAGAGAGAGAGAGAGAGAGAGAGAGAGAGAGAGAGAGATACACAAGAGAGACAGCATCCACCAACCATCCATCAAGAAAATGATGCACAGGCTTGCCTATGGACCATCCTGATGGTTCACGGTTAAGGTGCCCGCTTCACGGGTGACTCTCTCTGCTTGTGTCAAGACGACACAAAACTAGCCAGCACAGTTAAATAAAGAATGAACTTATGCCATCTGCTAGGAAATGAATAGACCTGGAAGCCCTCATGTGACATGACACGAGCCCCACTTGGAAAGGTGCCACATCCGTGGACCCAGATTCCATGCAGCATGCACACAACATACTCGTGAGACCCCCACAGTAGATGGGGTGCCCAGGAGGGCAGGAACTGACAGGGACAGAGGGACAAATAAAACGCCATGATCGTAAGCTAATGAAGGTGTTTAGCTAAATTAAAAGGTAAAAATACAAAAAATGCAATAAAAAGTTAAATAACAAGCGAATAAATACATCCATAAATAAAAGACCAAAGGAAATATCTAGCCAGGTTTCTTTGCCTGTTTTGAAGTGGTTTGTTTTCAACTCGGGGTTTGCGGTTGAGTTGGACGGGTTCCTTGTGTGTTTCGGACATTAGGGCTCCCTGCGCCCTGTGTTGTTCCCTCTGACAGGCAGAGCCTTTCTGTTTAATGAGAACTCATATTTTGGTTTTTACATTTCAACCCCAGTTCCCCCTCCCTCCTCTCCTCCTGCTCCCACATTTCTCCCACCTGCTCCCCACCCCCCCCCCCTCCCCCTCCCCCCCCCAGAGGTAAGTCAACAAAAACTATCTCATCACCGCCCCGGGGGCGGGCCAAGCCCCCCCCCCCCCATACCTAGGCTGAGCAAGGTATCTCTCCACAGAGACTCAGCTCCACAAAGTTCACGCATTAGGGTTAGATCTCGGTCCCACGGCCAGTGGCTCCACATACTGCCCAAGCACACCACTGTCACCTGCATTCAGGGGGTATAGTTTGTCCCATGCAGGTTCCCCCATTGTCAGTCCAGAGTCAGTGAGCTCCCACTGGTCCGGGTGGGCTGATTCTTGGGTTTCCCCATCGTGACCTCGACCCCTTTGTTCACATTATCTCTCCTTCCTCTCTTCGATTAGCTCAGGGAGCTCAGCCCAGTGGTTAGGCGTGGATGTCTGCATCTGCTTCCATCTGTTTCTGGATGGGGGAAGAACTCACATTTCTGTTTATGCCTT